ACAAAGAAGGAGGGGATCACAATGAACGTTATCCAATGTTATGCACCCACCAATGATATCAACGACGAAAATCAGTTTTATGAAAGGCTGCAATCAATTATAGAGAAATGTTCACGAAAGGACCTCACCATCCTTATGGGAGATCTAAATGCTAAAGTTGGAGTGGACAACACAGGATATGAAGATATAATTGGACGACATGGATTGGGATGAGAAATGTAAATGGGGAGAGACTTGCAAATCTATGTGCATTCAACAAATTGGTTATAGGCGGCACAATATTCCGAAGATCAATGGAAGATGTGAGAACCCGGAGAGGAGCTGACATAGCTTCAGATCACCATCTGGTTGTGGTCAAGATGAGACTGAAGCGAAAGAAACACTGGACAACTGGACAAACAGCACTACAAAGGTTCAATACAGCCTTCCTTCGAGATACTGACAAGCTCCATGAATTCAAGATAACTCTCAACAACAGGTTCCAAGCTCCACAGGATCTACTGAAAGAACAAGAAACTACTTTGGAGGACAACTGGAAAGGGATAAAAGAAGCACTAACTTCAACGTGCCAGGAGGTTCTTGGTCCTAAGAAGCATCATCACAAGGAATGGATCTCTATGGGAACCCTGGACAAAATTCAAGAAAGGAAGAACAAGAAACTAGCCATCAACAACAGCCGAACACGAGCAGAGAAAGTCAAAGCACAAGCCGACAAGCAGAAATACATGGGAGAAGTAGCAACGGCGGCGGAAAAAACTGCAAGAGAAGGGAATATGAAACAACTATATGATACAACGAAGAAATTGGCGGGAAGATATAGCAAACCAGAGAGACCAGTCAAAGACAAAGAAGGAAAGACAATCATTGAGATTCAAGAATAGAAGAAAAGATGGGCAGAATACTTCGAGGAACTGCTGAATAGACCAGCCCCATTGAATCCACCGAACTTCGAAGCAGCCCACACAGACCTTCCAATAGATGTTACTCCACCAACGACCGAAGAAGTCAAGATGACCATCAGACAAATCAAAAGTGGGAAGGCGGCAGGACCTGACAATATACCAGCAGAAGCACTGAAGTCAGACATTGAAATAACTGCAAACACACTTCACCTTCTATTCAAGAAGATTTGGGAAGAGGAACAAGTGCCAACGGACTGGAAAGAAGGATATCTCATCAAGATACCAAAGAAAGGAGATCTGAGCCAATGTGAGAACTACAGAGGCATCAGTTTGTTATCAGTACCAGGAAACGTTTTTAACAGAGTGCTGCTGAATCGGATGAAAGACGCAGTAGACGCCGAACTTAGGGATCAACAGGCTGGATTTCGTAAGGATCGGTCGTGCACAGACCAGATTGCGACACTACGGATCATCGTTGAACAATCAGTTGAGTGGAACTCATCACTATACATCAATTTCATTGACTATGAGAAGGCATTTGACAGCTTGGATAGGAGAACATTATGGAAACTTCTTCGACACCATGGAGTTCCTGAAAAGATTGTCAATATTATCCAAAACTCATACGATGAATACAATGCAAAGTCATGCATGGAGGACAGCTGAAAGATGCACTTCCGGTAAGGATCGGAGTCAGACAAGGCTGTCTACTCTCCCCATTCCTCTTCCTTCTAGTGATTGACTGGATTATGAAGAATTCGACATCTGAAGGGAAATACGGAATACAATGGACAGCTCAAAATCAATTAGATGATTTGGACTTCGCAGATGACCTAGCCCTTCTCTCTCATACACACGACCAAATGCAGATGAAGACAGCATATGTAGCAGCAGCCTCCGCATCGATAGGCCTCCACATTCACAAAGAAAAAAGCAAGATTCTCAAATGCAATACGGAGAACACCAACCCAATCACACTTGATGGCGAAACTCTGGAAGCGGTGGAAACATTCAAGTACCTGGGAAGCATCATTGATAAACAAGGGGGATCGGATGCAGATGTAAAGGCGAGGATTGGCAAAGCAAGGGCAGAATTTTTACAATTGAAGAACATATGGAACTCAAAACAACTCTCAACCAATTTCAAGGTCAGAATTTTTAATACGAATGTCAAGATAGTCCTACTGTATGGAGCTGAAACGTGGAGAACTACTACAGCCATCATCAGGAAGGTACAAGTATTTATAAATGGTTGTCTACTCAAAATACTCAACATCCATTGGTCAGATACTATCAGCAACAGCGTTTTATGGGAGAGGACAAACCAGCTTCCAGCTGAAGAGGAAATTAGGAAAAGACGTTGGAAATGGATCGGAGATACATTAAGAAAATCACCTATGTACATCACGACTCAATCCCTAACTTGGAATCCGGAAGGGAAGCGGAAAAGAGGAAGGCCAAAGAACACACTACGCCGGGAAATAGAAGCCGATATGAAAAGGATGAATAGCAACTGGAAAGAACTGGAAAGGAAGGCTCAGGACAGAGTTGGATGGGGAATGCTGGTGAGCGGCCTATGCTCCTCGACGAGGGGTAACAGGCGTAAGTAAGTATGAATATACGACAGATGAATTTGGCTAGTTATAACTTCACCAGATTAAGTAATTTTTAAACGATAATCTTTAACTACTCAAATGAAATTTCAGTAGATTTAGTTAGATTAGATTACAAGGTAGTGATAAACGTTCCGATATCTAATACAAACCACTATTTAATTGGTTTCAGATAACACAACATCGACACAGACATTGAACTCTTTTTCATATTTATTAACTGCGTGTTCACACACACTTCGTCATAATGCACATCCACTTATATATTATAATTCGGCACACAATCCACAGTATCATTAGACAAACCAGTTTGTATACGTTTCACCAAGTCATGATGCCTTTTCTTAGATAAAGACTCAGAAAAGAATATTCATAAGAACTTTCTCGAACTTCCCGACGGTGTAAATTAACGTAGAGATAACTATGTGGTATGTGTTGGAGATGAATTCACAAATAACAACGTGAAAACAGTGTCCTGAGCATTCTAATTGATAAATCTGAAAAATCTTAATATCTCGACCGATGATATACCTAATATTAGTATATGAATTGTCGCAGACACTTATATACTCATTCATAACTAAATAGTCGATGTAATAGTCCTCAGTGAGAAGATTGTAAAGGCTCATATTATGTTGAGATGAAATAAATACGGTTTATTTATTATAATTGGTTTCTGCCGCACAATGTCATTTTCTGAATCATTTTAATCATACCTATCCCTTTTGACTGTGCAATATGGTCTTCAATGAATTATAAATGTGAAAGGTGTGTGTTCAGTTAACAAAACTACAGAAGGCAAAATATGAAAAATAACGAAATAAACAATCAACTCTAAGCTATATGGAATTGTGAATCATGTGTCAATATCTATCTCAATAACACCAGTCAACATTCATACAAATGAAGACTTTTCAGTGAAGTTTCTCTTTGATCATTTAAATTTGTGACAATGTACCAACGCCTTTATTGTTGATTTATTAAGGATGTAGTAAGCATGTGGTAAAATAGTAAAGTTTTACATAATTATCAAAGATAATTAAAATCATTCAGGTAGTAGTGTATGCGAACACAAATAGAGATAGTCTTATGTATGTTAAAACACATTTACAGAATATCTTAGTAAAATTGCATAATAATACAGCTTATTCTTTATTTTTCATAGTTGAAAGCGTGAATCAATTGAAGCTAGACCACCATGGAAAACCTGGAAACCCTGGACGGCCGTTTCGTCCTATTATGGGACTCCTCAGCAGTGCGCGTCCACGAACCCGCTCTCGCGAGATTCGAACTCAGGACCTACCAGTCACTTTATTTGCAAAATTGTCAATCAACTATCTCAGATTTCATGTGTTTCTCCATTTCCACATCAATTGATTTCTCTTCTTAACCTTCCCCCCCTTTTTGATATTCTAAACATTGTGCTACCAGATATTCTTATGTTCACCATCAATAAAATATTGATTTATTGATTGACATAGCCATGTTAAACGAAATAATAAAACAACCGAATTTATGTTTACCCTACTGACAATGAACTACATCAAACTTATCATTGTTATTTTACAAAAGTTAGAAATAATGCACAATTGTTACCTATCATCAATAATGGTTTGTACTGATCGTTGAATTGAATTAACATCACGAACTAATATAAGCTAGAAAACCACTGAAAACCATGAAGTATTGAACTGCGGTTCATCTTCATCTGTGACTCCTCAGCAAAAACAGGTTGATTGTGACACACCACCCGTTAACTGATATCAGTTAATAGATCACTGTATGCTGTGTCAGTGTTTTAAGGGTATAGTGCAGTTCACAAGACCTAAACCTCGTCAGTTCAGCTGATGGGCATAATTCCTACTTCTATGGTCTGAAGTAATGCTTTTCTTCCATTTGTTAAACTTGGCTTACAACAGTCAAAATAGTCGGACATTGACGCGTTTGCTGATGAGTTTGTAGTCATCGTAGTAAAATAAATTTATACTCAAGCATATTAAATAACAAAATACAATTATTGATTATTTTTAAGAGATACTAATGAGAAGTCTCAATATCTTAAAATGATCATTCTTTATAAAACCATTCATAATGAAATGAGGTCGTGGTCAATGTACATTGTGTATAATGTAATTATCTAGTTCTACTATGAATCTTCATCTTCTTTCATACAACATATGATACATTACTAATCATTCATGTAATTGACTTCAATTGAGGTTTGTAGAATTGATCAAAACAACATCGCATAACATGAAGTTAATCTCCTTCTTTGTTTCTTTTTAATTTGAGGAGAGAATAGAGCAAATTTGGGAATCTCTATCTGTTTCTTTACTTAAGTTGCTTTTTAAAGTCTTATAGGATATCGTATAAACAAATTTCATGAATCCTCTTCTTCGTTTTCTTCAAAAACGCTCTGAATTCAGCTTGAACTGGAAGTCATCGAAATCATTGTCACTCATCAACTTGCCATTATAATGACGAATTAGGATGATGATGATGATGATGATGATGATGATGATGATGATGATGATGATGATGATGATGATGATGATGATGATGATGATGATGATGATGATGATGATGATGATGATGATGATGATGATGATGATGATGATGATGATGATGATGATGATGATTCGGATGATGATGATGATGATGATGATGATGATGATGATGATGATGATGATGATGATGATGATGATGATGATGATGATGATGATGATGATGATGATGATGATGATGATGATGATGATGATGATGATGATGATGATGATGATGATGATGATGATGATGATTCGGATGATGATGATGATGATGATGATGATGATGATGATGATGATGATGATGATGATGATGATGATGATGATGATGATGATGATGATGATGATGATGATGATGATGATGATGATGATGATGATGATGATGATGATGATGATGATGATGATGATGATTTGGATGATGATGATGATGATGATGATGATGATGATGATGATGATGATGATGATGATGATGATGATGATGATGATGATGATGATGATGATGATGATGATGATGATGATGATGATGATGATGATGATGATGATGATGATGATGATGATGATGATGATGATGATGATGATGATGATGATGATGATGATGATGATGATGATGATGATGATGATGATGATGATGATGATGATGATGATGATGATGATGATGATGATGATGATGATGATGATGATTTGGATGATGATGATGATGATGATGATGATGATGATGATGATGATGATGATGATGATGATGATGATGATGATGATGATGATGATGATGATGATGATGATGATGATGATGATGATGATGATGATGATGATGATGATGATGATGATGATGATGATGATAACATACATCATACACATTTTTGTTATGATGGGGTCCATTATTTCAATTACAGATAAAGATTCAGTGATAGTCAATTATTCTTGTTAATTTCAATTATCATTTCTATTATCTAATGAGAACTCAATTTATTTTTAACCGACCGAATTATTGAATAACAATAAAAATAATAATACAGTGAATGATATGAACACAATCATTTTTGTAGTGAACATCTACTGAAATTTCATTTCAGTAGTTAAAGATTATCGTTTGAAAATTACTTAATACGGTGAAGTTATAACTATAGAAGGGGTTTTGTGGAGATTTAGTATTTATCATTGTTGAAAGCGTGAGTCAATTGAAGCTAGACCACCATGGAAAACCTGGAAACACTGGACGGCCGTTTCGTCCTATTATGGGACTCCTCAGCAGTGCGCAAAAGGAAAGGCTGAGAGTGAACACATATGGAGCTCTGGTCTGGCAAGATGATGACAAAAATTGGGTGGCTGTGATCCCGAAAGACTGGCGGCGTAAGATGATACACGAATCTCACCAGATAGCGCATACAGGTATTGCAAGAACGACGGATTTACTGCGGCAAAGTACATACTGGCCAGGTATGAGAGACGATGTGGCCCAATAAGTGTTGACGTGCCAGCAGTGCCAATTAATGAAAAGCGATAGATACACGCAACCGCCATTGCAGTCGGTCCCAGTAACCGCAGTCGGCGATCTATGGTCGGTAGATGTGATGGGACCATTTCCACAGACGAATAGAGGCAACCTATACTTATTAGTAATGACGGAACATGCTACACGATGGGTCGACGCTGTACCGATTGCCGACCAGCGGGCAAAAACAGTGACCGAAGATGATACTTACCGATCAGGGTCCATGTTTTGAAAGTGACGAGTTAAAGGCCCGTTTAAAGCAGTTCGGCATCAAGAGGATACGAACTACACCGTATCATGCTCAGACGACCGGGCTTACAGAAAGAAACAACCGGACATTAAAGGAATTGTTAGCATCTAAAGGAGGGAATTGGAGAAAGAGTTACAACTAATTTTGCCGGCACATCGTGCCTCTATACAAGGAACAATCAGGAAATCACCCTTCCTACTTATGTATGGTAGACAGCCACGACTTTCGATGCATAATAAGACCTGGCTACAACAACAGAAGTGGAGAAAAACAAGATTAGAAAAGAGAGGATGGAGGCAATAAAGAACGTGGAAAAGAAACAAATAACAGACATAAAGAAGGCGGAACAGCAGAGAAGAGCGTGGAAGCCTTTTACAGTGGGGGACCTGATAAAGTGTAGAGAACGGAAAGGTAAAATAGAAGGGTGACCAGGGTCAGGAAAGTTGATTTCTAAATGGGACGGACCGTACATTATCACGGAAAGACGTGGCTCAGTTTACACGATCCTGAGAGAAGACAAACAGAAGCGTGTAAATGCCAGTCAACTGCAGAGATGGTTTCGAAAACATCATGAGTACGAGTCGCGAACAGCACCAAAGAAGACGGTACGGCAATCGAAAAGAATGCGAGAACAGCTTATTAAAAGGAGGGACCAGTGTGGTGTGGGCTAATCATATCGATATAAGTATTATATATCGTGAGTGGGGAATAGGATATCTGACTGCAGGAGTTTGAGAAATATAAGAAGAGAAGAATAGAAATAAAAAGCGATTGGTGTGGAAATCCAGGAACAATGAAGCCAGAGACAATTAAAGAACATTTTGCAAAGAGATTTTCAGAGTACGGTTTTTGTATTTTATTAAGCAACTTTGAAATTTGTGCTAAATATACAGTTGTTTGTCCGCACCTGTGTTCTCATTCAATAAACAATACTATTCATACTATTCTCTTCTCGATCTTCTCAATCTTCTGCTGTCAGATATTCTATTCCTTCCTCACCATATATACTACTTATGTCAATATAAGTAGCTCACACCACACTACTACTACTACTACTACTACTACTACTACTGCTACTGTTGTGAACAGAACACGACTGTTGGACAATCCAATGTATTTCAGCAAACATTACAAAGTATCTCAGTAAATTGTAATAACCATACAATGGACAGTTAATTTGCAAATTAACAACCAATAGTCTCCATGTTCACTCTTTCTTCTTTAATTCCATTGCTCATGCATTTTCCAAACGATTGCGCTTCATTTGAGTTCTTTTGTCATCGGTTTTCTGCCGAAATACATAGATTTGTGATTGTCAGTTGAATTAGTATCATTTATAGAATATAGAACATTTCATCTGAAGACTAAACTGGTGTCTTTTCTATGTTTTCTCCTATTGTGTTAATAAAGGTATCTATCAGTTTAATGACATTCATTTGAAAGTCATAATGAACAGAACTTTCTACTTTCTTCAAATATTCTTATAAGCTTCTGCTTGAATGGAATAATGACGTAAATCAGCCTAATATTTTGTAGACACACGGGTCAAAGTATGACCAAATCTGAGTTATTCAACGTGTAGTCCATAAAGTAACTGTGATAGGAGAGCGAATTTACGTTAAATCATGGACTAAGCTTGAATTGAGACTAGTCAGTCTATCAGTTGCTATGGCCTATACCCCTTTTGTTTGATGCACATAGATTTGCAAATCACTTTACTTTTTCATTTCTCTCTCATAATCCATGTCGTCCATTCCGACTTTGGCATTTAGATCCATCCGGATGGTGAGGTCCTTTCTTGAGCACTTAGTTAGGATTGATTATAGTTTCTAACAGAAGTGACCTTTGCTGTCATTGGTGGATTCACAACATCGGGTAAGATTTATTGTGATCCCCTCCTTTATTGTTTTGAATGATGCTTTGATAATTTCGGATCCATGAGATTCCCATTCTACAAGTGCATTTTGTACTTCTCTGGACAGCATTAGAGCAACTCTCTGAGTGTGTGGACCATTTTTCCTCTTCATGATCGGAGTACAACAGCATGTTTTCCGTATCTAGTCATTGCTCTTCAGCTTGCGTCCAACTACATTGAGTATCTGGACAGCGACAATCTCTATTTGCAATGTGCTATAACGTTAAAGCACTTCAATATAATTAAGGTGACTAAAAATAGGTTCAGTGTCGACTTCAGACTGTGTGTGCCTCTTGAATCTGGAATTCCATGTGCAACCTATGTCCCGTGAACTATTCTCGCATGTAGCCATCGAATCATCATTCAAACCGTAAGGCTCTTTTGTGATGCTGATGGATAAAAAAACTTCTTGTTAACATCGTTTTCAAGAGAAAGCTCTGAAAGAAGCTCTTGATCGTATTATACAAATATCAAGAATAAAATCATGGAAGGAATGATAATCCGTCTTGATGACACCTCTATAACCATAGTTTGTCGCTCACCATTTACCTAATACGTATTAATCAAGTAACGAAATATGAAAGTGATTATCTAGGTATTCATAAAGTGTTTCAACAGATCACTTCATCAAAATGAACACTCACACCGGACTCACAGTTGACTGCAATGATCACGAAATCACTTATGCGTAATGCCACGTAGTTACGAGTTGAATTTGTAGAACTCATGTGATATTATGCACCTTGGATTATATGGAAGCGATTACGCGAATATTGAAAACAGTGTTTAATATTTTATAAAAAAGATAACATTACCTATCATGTTAACAATCAAAAGCATGTACAAAGTATCATGAAATAACTGTCCAAATTAGTAAGAAGACAAATGAAATTCTAAAGTATTCTAATGAAAAGCGCAATTGAGACAACTTGTTCAGAGTATTCAAAGCAATTTATAAGACTTTTTCATGGATCATTCATTACTTCTCTTTCTTCTAAGTAACCATCTCCAAATTATACAACCGATGCATATAAGAAATAGAGAGGCGACCAAAGGAATTACAACGTACAAGTACCAATGTGACTTGTCTTGCTTATTTTCTTCCGTTGTCCTTGTAGTCATATACTGATAAAAAAGAAAGAATTATCAGTTTTCAACAAATATCAAATATTTACCGATTGTTTTTCTGTTTCTTCAGTAATTTTCATGAGGTTTTCACTAACCTGAACCTCAGTGATCCCCAATGTTGTTTCACTGTGTTCCATAGTTGTTGAACTATTCAAATCGTTGACATCTGACTTCTTCTAAATGATATAATCAGAAGCATTGATTACTAAACATCAAATATCATTCTTTTAATTCATTACAAATTTACATTCATTACAAATCATTCCCAGTAATGATGACACAAGAGATTGTCATACATAGTTGCTGAATTCGAATTCGTCAAATCATTCAGTATATCTATTAGCGATTTGACAATCAGTGTGCTTAGCAAACACTATCCTACAGCTAGTTGACGACTCAATGATATGATGAAATACGTGTTCTAACTGTCAAATCTAAACACAAACCGAATATAAATCAATAGCCTTATAATTGACGGCTTAATTGAAGCGACTTATTGAGGTTACATAATTTTCAACAGAGCATCATAAATCATTGTTCCGGGATTCAACAATGGAAGTCTACATATGTTCACTAATTCCCCTAATGTGATACACAGTTTCTAACTGTTTACGCTTCTTCACTTTACTTGGTTTCATCGGTGTATTTTTATCATTTACATACATCTACGATTACATTTAGGACTTTCGAAATTACGGTTTATTCACTGAGCTGAAAACATAATTCGCTTTGAAACGATGATGGTGAGCGATGCTTCGATTCATTGTTTACTTTTTTTTCACGAAACGGAAGCATGAACTCATATGTCGTCAACCTATACAAAGCTTTTATTTAGTCACTGAGGATGACCAACATGCCGTTTGTTATTGATAGCAATAAAAGTATTTTTTCCAGTTAAAACATTTGCTCAAAATGTGAAATTTGAGGTTATTGCAAACAACATATGAAGTTTACTAATTACCAACCTCAACACGGCAGTCATTGACTTTCAAGCCATGAGTGTTTTGATCGTTACTTTCTATACATTTCTCCCCTTTTCCACACCAAATACATGTCGTATTCGATGTCGTTGCATTTTGGCATGTTTCACTTGTATTGTATTGCGAACAAATTTCTATGAAAAGAATAAGGTGAATTTATTTGAAGTTAATGAATAGAAGAACAGAGAAATAAGAAACCTGTAAATATTACTCAATGACGTGATGGAGTTAAGTGACATATCCATTCGGTGGAAAATGGTCAACATGGTGCATCATACAAAACTCAGTACACCTTCAATTTCTCTTCTATTTCAAGACTGCATTTTTGAATTGAATGAAATTACTTTGAGTACAAAGAACAAGTGACGACTTTTTGACAAGGGGAAATTGATGACTTTTAATAACTGTTCGCATTCAGACATGTGCACACTACGTTGTCACAGAGTTCAGCAAAGCGCATTGCAATTGACTTTGATGGTTATACACTTTCTTTTCATGAAATCGTTTTTGTGAATGAGATAAGTGCCACAAACTCGGTTGTTCATAGACACAAAATTTAAATTGAATTATGTTGATTCAATTAAACAACAAAGGAAAAGTGACATCGTTCTTCCAATCGTCAATGACAACTTCAATGCCCAAGAAAAGTTCTACATCATATACATCAAAATAATAACGAACACTTCCTTGTCAATGCACAATCGCTTAGTGACACTTAATATTTTTCGAAACCGAAAGCATTCCATCATTCATTTTGTGACTTTATGTTCAAGTTAACTTCATCAAGGTGAAAACTTTAATGTAGTTGAAATCCGGTCGTTATTCGTGCTTAATATTCAACAAAGAATCAACGTGTAGTTATAAATAGTAAGTTAAACGTCATTCAAGACACATGCCTGGATATCATTTATTAAATGATACATGGGATTTTTAATTTTGAGCGAACAAAAATGATGTGTTTAAGTTCGAAAATAGTAAGTGCTGATTAAATCCAATTTCAGGTACCTCCGATGGCTTCAAACTCCACCAACGTACCACTTTTGATCCATTTTGCTGGAACAGGTATCTCAGGAAATACAATACCTTGTGTGACAAATTGAAAGGAAAAAAAATATTTAGAATTTCGACATCTTTTTGAAGCGAAACAAGTTTATTTGCTTTACTTAAGTAGAGGGCAAATCAAGGATCTGTAGTATTTTTCATTACGTACAGAGTGATGACTGTCTTAATAAAAACTATGGTTTACATCGCACTGAGTTTTTAAACCGGCCCGTTAAATTATAAATGAAATAGTTACGTTTCCGAGTTATTCAACGATGAAATCAGCTGGACGTCTGGGATAGATGCGTTCAACCACTTACATATTATTTCACAATGCATATTACACATTCAAATCTACAAATCAAGGAACAATGGTGGTTTGTATATCAATCTCGGACGCGCGTTTCATCTTATTTAGGACTTATCAGGGACTGAAAACCAGCACCATTCATTTACATCTACATTCGGTTATCCACTTTTCCAGTCAGTCCATATACTCAATGACTTACGAGAACTGTATGAAGCTTTAAATCATTTTTGAATTGTTATTGAATCTTCCGATTGATGTTAAGAAACCGTATTTGATTCAATTTCCATTACTCATCCATCTTTACGCACAATGCTTGTGACTTTAAGCAACATCCAGATAATCCTAACAGAGTGCATATATATGAATAAGGGACTGATCAGTTGCAATACAAATCACTCATGTGAGGACTGAACCAAAGAATGTAAAATGACAATTATCTTCATTGTTTAAATCACTCAACAATGCACTTAAACCTGTCAATGCAGAACATCTGGCGGAACATTTGATGAACCTTCTCACATTCAATCATAAACACTGTATCTCACCTAATCAAGTACACTCAAAACTCCTCCTCAAACTCAGCTTCATCTGTCAACAATACATGTTTATTTCAGTGAAGCAAGACGATTGAACATTTCGTAGATGAAAAATCATTTCCAAACTAGCACTGCTTTATTTCTGCTTCATACAAAACACATTTCCTTTTACATTGAGTGTTGAGATGATCAAAGACTGCAAGTTTGATTGTATTACTGTGAGTGTGTGAATACATGAGTGGATATATTTTGAGTTTGATATAGTTATTCATATATCCATATCTGGGTGAGTCTACCGGTAATCATAACTGTAAGAAGTTCCCAAAATATTTGGACAGTGTGTTTACGAAAATCATTCCAATTTCATTCTGCACAATGAGCCACAACACTTAAATGACATTTCCACGAACTGACTTTACGCAAGAAGCAACTGAATAATATTCACTGTTAGAAAGCTCTCTCTGATAAGATACATGGATTTTGTTCATTAACATGCTTATGACCTAGTACAAGTAGAGAGTAATATAAAACTAACTGGTGGTTGATGATGTACGTCACCGTACATCAAATAGTTAACGAGATTTGTCCTGCTTAAACATCTGGGCTACCTGTTCCCGTCATCTAGATATTTCAAAAAGTTATCTAAATTTGTTTGTTTTAATACATCATTATGCCTAGTAATCGCACAACCTATTCAGATGCATTTCTGAAAAGAGTAAGAGTTTTAGCTGTAACGGTTGCAGAAGGCAATATGCAGCGAGAAGTATGTACATTATCCAGATGTCGATTGACTGTGCTGCAAACTTCTAAGTGACGATCACTAAATATTTATCGTCAGGAAGGACGAAGAAGTAAGAAACGGAAACTTGCTGAAGTACATTGTGCTGAGAATTCCATATTGTACCAAAAATATAATATTGAATAAAGCTAATAATAATAATAATAATTCCCTGAAATATTTCTTACCTCCTTTACAACTTAATTGTCCAATGATTCCCGATTGCAACTGACTTTCCTCAATTACCGTAGGAATCTGAAAAAAGATTGTTGAATGTCTGAGACAAGATCTGCTACCACACATTCATTTATATGAAATCGAATAATTACTGGAGAAATGTATCATCATTTAGATCATCTCATTAAAAGCCAACTAATCGCACTCACACTAGGCATACTGATATTCTCAGTTTACTTTCCATGAATGTTCCATCCAATGTGTACAGATATTCATGCCAACTTCGGTCAAGTGTTATGAACTATCTCTCCATCATGATATGTGGCGATTACTTGTGAGATGAATATCATCGTCTATTGAGATGAAATGAGATTGTGAATATTTGACAGGATGCTGCACTCAGGATATTCCACAGTGAACATTCTGAACAGTCGATCGTCACTACATGAAATAAAACTCAACATAATGTGATTTATTCCGTATAGTAGGCAAACATTCACAGCCAGTTACCATTTGGCACGAACAGGTTATTGTTTCTTCTGAAAGAAGTTTACTTCTGATTATTCACTGTTCATACCACTTGCTTGAATAGTGTCACTAGAGGATTGATAATAGTGTCAATCAGTTTGCTTGCCTATTACACAATGTTGATCTCTTTCTATCGTGTTCAGTGTAACTAGATTAATTTGACAATATTGATCAACATGAATGAGTAGAGTGATGTGAATTACTTGAAACAATATCACATTTTCACTAAATTATGCAACTCACGTTATCATAATGGAACGATACCTTCCCATTTGGGTGTATTAAATTCGTCATTGTGGCTGTAACCTCTACAGTAAAAAGAATATTGATACTCAGTATCTAAGATTTAAACGGTGAGCAAGTTATTGTTTGATGTAACACTGTGGACAGATTTCAGTGGATATTAACTGTGTTATCTGGAATGCTTTCTTCAGATGGATTGATAATAAATACTTTGGAGTGAACGTCATTGAAATGAGACGGACATGAATCCCTTCTAACAAATATCAAATGCCTAGATTCTGAAGTTGTATTACTATTATCGGAACAATAAATAGTCTGCTTTACCATCAGGGACCTGATAGTCAGGGATGTAATAACATTCGCGCAATATCCTAAATAATTCAATTTAAAACAATGGACACTCA